CTTTATTGTTCAGATTATTACATTTGTTCGTCTTTTTTTTTCCCCCCATAACTCCCCTCCTCCCAGTTCCCGCCCCACCCTCCGCCCTCACTCCCCACCCACTGTCCTCATCCATAGGTGCACGATTTTTGTCCAATCTCTTCCCACATCTCCCACACCCCTTCCCCCCCCCAAGAATGGTCAGTCCATTCCCTTTCTATGTCCCTGATTCTATTATAATCACCAGTTCATTCTGTTCATCAGATTATTTATTCACTTGATTCTTAGATTCACTTGTTGATAGATGCATATTTGTTGTTCATAATTTGTATCTTTACCTTTTTCTTCCTCTTCCTCTTCTTAAAGGATACCTTTCAGCATTTCATATAATCCTGGTTTGGTGGTGATGAACTCCTTTAGCTTTTCCTTATCTGTGAAGCTCTTTATCTGACCTTCAATTCTGAATGATAGCTTTGCTGGATAAAGTAATCTTGGTTGTAGGTTCTTGGTATTCATCACTTTGAATATTTCTTGCCACTCCCTTCTGGCCTGCAAAGTTTCTGTTGAGAAATCAGCTGACAGTCGTATGGGTATTCCCTTGTAGGTAACTGAGTTTCTTTCTCTTGCTGTTTTTAAGATTCTCTCTTTGTCTTTTGCTCTTGGCATTTTAATTATGATGTGTCTTGGTGTGGTCCTCTTTGGATTCCTTTTGTTTGGGGTTCTCTGTGCTTCCTGGACCTGTAAGTCCATTTCTTTCACCAGGTGGGGGAAGTTTTCTGTCATTATTTCTTCAAATAGGTTTTCAATATCTTGCTCTCTCTCATCTTCTGGCACCCCTATAATTCTGATGTTGGTACGCTTGAAGCTGTCCCAGAGGCTCCTTACACTATCCTCGCATTTTTGGATTCTTTTTTCATTTTGCTTTTCCGGTTGGGTGTTTTTTGCTTCCTCGCATTTCAAATCATTGACTTGATTCTTGCGCTCCTCTGGTCTGCTGTCGGGAGTCTGTATAATATTCGTTATTTCAGTCCGTGTATGCTTAATTTCTAGTTGGTTCCCCAATATAAGATCGAGGGTCTCATTAGTTTTCTTGTAGATCTCATTAAGTTTATCGGTGGCTTCTAAACAGTTCTTGAGAGACCTTAAAAGTGTGGTTCTGAACTCTATATCTTCCATTGACAATTTTGTCCTGTTTCTTTGTCTCCGCATTTTGTTATGCTTCCTTGGTGCACCCCCTAGTGGTCTTTGTTCGCAGTTTTATAGTTAAATCTTGATTGTTGTAGCTAATACCAGGGAGGGTTTGACCTCCAGGCCAAGTGGCTATGAGAATCAGCTGTGTCTGCAGTGAGAGAACTTCTGTCCTCTAGGGAGGTGCTAATCTGGCGTTTGCCTGAGGCTATCTGGCAAATGCCTGTGTGCAGGGCTTGGGCGGGGCGGGTCGCACAGGATCAACAGGGTGGGCCGGATAGAGCAGTTATGGCGGCTCTCAGTCCTGTCCCCAGGGGCTCTGCCTCTCTGAGTCCCAGTACCCGCTGCAAAGCTCAGAGAGAAAGCTGCACTCGCTCTGACCGAAGCCAGACAGTCCCGCTTCTCCCGTTTGAGTCTGGGTCCCTAGAGACTCGCCCGTATCTGAAGCTCAGAGTCTGCAACTCCATCCCGATTGAAAACGCCAACTGCGCCCTCCGCCGCCAGCCTGCTTCGCGCACTCCGCACCTCAGAATTTGACTTCAGCACTGCGCCTCCTCTGAGTGTCCGTATGCGTTTCTCTTTCCTCCTAGTTGTAGGACTTCCACTCAGCCAGCGTTCCTGTGGTTCTGGGTGATGTCCCTTCCGTTTTTTGGTTTCACTTTTGAAGTAATTGTTCAAAGCAGCAAACTCCGGCGTTAACCTATGCCGCCATCTTGGTTCTCCTCCCGAGTCTCATTTTTTAAATTGAAAAATATTACTAATAAATCTATCTCAAATATTAACATTAGGTAAAGTTCTTAGTAATTGAGAATTAGAAATAATTTAAGCATAAAGCTGAAGTTTACATTTATACCAAATATAAATAAACTAGCAAAATAAGAAAAAATATATAAATTATTACAACAATTTTTGAAAGAGAACCCAATGATGCATTTGGCTACATTCTGCATTGTTGCATGCCCTTGAAATTAATCTCTTTGAAAACAATTTGTAATCAGCCATTGTTAATTCAGATTGATCTTCCTTTGATGTTCAGCAGACTTTTTAAGTATTTTTATGTTGAAAGATAATAGATTCTCTAAGATAGTTTAACAAAATAAGCTAGTCCTTATTTTATTTTATTTTATTTTCTCTAATTCTTATTTTATTTCACTAATCTTGCATAATTATTACCTTTTGGTGGCTTCTTGGCCTGATGTTTGTGTATGATTGAAAAAACTGACAGTTTCTATCATCATTACAATCAGACTAGATGCCTTGTGCATGAAATTTGTGCACGGGGGAGGGGGTCCTTCAACCCAGCCTGCACCCTCTCTAATCCGGGACCCCTTGGGGGATGTCCCTCTTGCAATCCGAGACCACTAGCTCCTAACTGCTCATCTGCCTGTCAGCCTGATCGCCCCTAACCACCTCTGCTTCACCCCTGCCATCGTGGCTTTGTTCAGAAGGACATCCAGAAGATGTCTGGTCTAATTAGCATATTACCCTTTTATTAGTATAGATATATAATCTAATATGTGACTGTCAGTGTGTCTGCTCAGTACTAATGATCTTCTTACTGTCTTCTATAAATTAAGACTTTATTGTTTTTAAGTAATTTTAAATTCACAGAAAAATTGAGGTGAAAGTAGAGAGATTTCTCATATATCCCCTGCCCCACACATGCATATCCTCATTATGCTTCTTGTCTTTTTTGTGAATAAATCAGTAAGATGAGTAAAAAGTAGTATGCAGATATAATTTATGTGTACAAGCTGTTTATGTGCATTATTTCATTCTGCTTATTTGGACATAAACCATTTCAGCCTTTTAAAATTCCATACTTACATGCTAGTTCATTTTTCATAGAAAGTTTCATTTTGGTAGTATAAAATAGGAAAAATATTACTGTTTCTAAGTATGCATAAGAAACACAGACACACATTTTTCATATATATCTCTCACTTTAAAATGTGGATAATTTTAACACATGTGAATGAGCTTGATAAAGCATCTGTAACATTTAATTTGATTTGATAATATAATTGATTTGATAATAGAACTGATTTGATAATAGAATTTGATTTGATAATAGAATTGATAATCTTACACCTTTATAAAAGTTAATTTCTCCTAAATTCGTATTTTTGATACTGCTATAATTAGCTAGTTATTAAGAATAGAAAAGGAGCAAAGAGAAGGCCAGACATAATAGGCATGTCATTTGGGCAGCTTCACCAGTGTAATTTCACACTTCCCCATTCCCTACAGGTTATTGGGGGGAAGGGACTGGACAAAGGGGAGATGGGCAAATGAGCAGTGAAGCTGGAGTGGCATAGGGGAAATGCCTGTCAGTCAAACCCAGGAACAGCGATCATTGGCAGAGTAGGCAGGGTCAAAGCAAGCCTGAAAAAATTTGGAAATAGCTAATCCCCCAAACCAAGGAGCTAGTTCTCTGGGTGCTCTTGGTTCTTGTGGTTCTCTTGTACTCACTCACCCATGTTCCCTCCACAGCCATGTGACCCTGCAAACCCTACATGTAATGGACCGATGAATTACAGCTGGGAACATAAATTTAGCTGGCCTGCTGCTGTATTAAACTGTGCACTCATGGAATAGAAGCTCTGGATACTGGCTTTGATTCTACTGAAGCCACAGCGACACTTCTTCCTTGGTGGAACAAAATGAATTGAGACCTTGGAAACTCGGGGATTTAATTCCATACAAATATAAATCACTTGCTCTCCCATGTGAGCCTCAGAAAATTATTTTGCTTGTGATATCACAAGGAGACCACCCCCAAAAGCAACAGGGGAACCCAATAACATTTTCAATTAAAGAATAGTACTTACTGAATAATGTAATATGTGAGTTCAATTAGGGGGAAAACTGGTGCTCTTTAATATTTTTATTAATGACTTGTCCATTCATTGAGAGCATGCTCACTCTAGATATCATCAAATCAAAAGCGTTTCCTAAATTATTTGAGCACATGTAGAGAATTCAAAATGGTCTTCAAAGATCAGAGAACTGTTTCATGAAAACAATCTATACTAATAAAAGGGTAATATGCTAATTAGACAGGGTAAACTGGACATCTTCTGGTCATCTGGTCCTTCTCAGGACAAAGCCATGGTAGCAGGGGCCTAGGCAGAGGCAGTTAGGGGTGATCAGACTGGCAGGGCAGGGCAGTTAGGAAGATCAGGCCATTAGGGAAGGGCGGTTAGGGGTGATAAGCCCAGCAGGGGAGGGTGGTTAGGGGCAATCAGGCAGGGAGAGGCAGTTAGGGGCGTTCAGGCAGGCAGGCAGGCTATCACTTAGGAACCAGCGGTCCCAGGTTGTGAGAGGGTGCAGGACAGGCTGATGGACCCCCCACACACATGAATTTCATGCACTGGGCCTCTAGTGTAATTATAATGGGACAAGTGAAAGGTATTCTGATAGTGTGAATAAAAACAGAATCAATAATGACATGTGAGCCTGGCTGGAGTGTTGCAATCATTGAGCATCAACCTTTGAACCAGATAATGATTCTATTCCCCTTCAGGGCACATGCCCAGATTGTGGGCTTGATCTCCACTAGGGGGAGTATAGGAGGCAGCTAATTAATGATTCTCTCTCATCATTGATGTTTTTATCTCTCTCTCCCTCTTCCTTTTTCTATGAAGTAAATAAAAATATATTTTTAAAAAAGAAAAATGAATGACATGAAAGAGATTATTTGAGTTGAACCTTTAATGCATTAGTTCTGTATTATTACCATTGGTAGGTGTATCAATTAGGTTTTTGCCTCATAGCTATTTTTGTTTATTTGTCCATAGTTTATTGATAATATTACAGCACAAAAAAAAGATTTAAATGGCTCCACAAGGTGTTTTGAAATTCATCACAAATGTAGGCTGAGTGACATGCAGATTGGACAGACTGCCAAAGTCCAAGAGCTTCAGCATTTCCTTAGTGTCATGCCGGGGTTCTTGTCCCAGCATAAAGAAGGGTTCGGGAATCTGGAGAAGGCTGTGCATAGATTAAATAGGAGTCCAGAGATGAAATATAATTTTGAAAGGCATTTGGGGGTCAGAGGAGCTTAGTTTAAAGGAAATTAAGATCTAAATTCTAAGTTCTCCTCATCTCAGGACCCCATGCTTTTTATTAACACAACTTGTCCTGAGGCGAGGCAGAGATATACACTTCAAAGGGTATACACAAGCATTGTCAGAATGGGGGAATTAGCCTACAGCTGTTCAGGTGTTTGGCCAGTAAGAGGCAATAACATGTAGATTAAGATGCCCTGAGCTGTCTGGCAGCAAACAACCATCCCTTTTCAGGTTTGGGGAAATGCCCTCAGCCATTCCCAACAGGTGACTACATGTGTGATCAACCCTGTTGAGTCCCCAAGTTCCATCAAACTTTTGAAAAACTCTTGAAATTATGACATGCTGGAATTGGTCTCCGGCAGTGTCAGGATCAACTTCAATGATCTCTGGATATAGGGCTGAGACTTCGGGGACATAGTTTTCTCTCCTCTCCCTCCCCTCTTCCTGCAGCTTTATGGAGATGTCGCTCATGGGGCCTCTCTGAATCCGCTTCATCAGATGTATGGCATAGCCCGCGATCTTGTTGCTGAGGATAATGGGAATCTCCTTGCACACGCGCTTGTTGGTGTGGAAGTCATTGCCCAGGCGCCTGTAGTACTTCTTGATGATGACCTGTGCCTCCTTCTTTGTGGTCTTAGTGCGCATGTGGCCCATGTCATAACTATTGACAATAAAACGTAGCCACTCAAAACAATTGCCATTTTATTTTGAATACAAAAATTTAAGATTAGCTCAATTGGGTGGTTTTTCTGAACTCGGTAGGGCTTTCTCATCCTCTGTAGGCAGCTGCATTATGAGCTGGAAAATTGCTTAAAATGACCTCCAGCTGGAGGGCTTATGTCTGCCCCAATGTGGTTTCTCATTATCCAGGGTGCTAGTCAGGGATTATTCATATTTTGGTGCAGGGTTCCAAGAGGAAGCACAAGAATGTAAGGCCTCTTGAGTCCAGGGCTCAAAATGGTTTCAATATCACTTCCATTGCATTCTATTGGTCAAAGCAAGTCACACAAGACCAGCTCAAACTCAAGGACAGAGCACCTCCATCTTTTTATAAGAGATTCCAAAAGATAAATGTGGTCAGTTTTATAATCTGGTAGAGAAAACTTAATCTATACTGGCCTAGATATCATGAAGTGTTGAGAGTTGCTTATTTTAGGACAAAAAAGAAATTGAGGGTACTTTTCAAGAAATCTGTACTGCAAATATAGACAAATTTTCCATTCTTGCATACTATTAACAATGCTTAGCATACACAAAATATTGTTTAGAGTCTCAGTACAAACTTTCACATATATGTTATGTGCACCTGAGAAAAATAATGTATATGCGATCCTCATAATAATCAGTAGGACAAATATTATATCTCAAAATTTATAGAATGGAAATTGAGGCTCATAATACACTGTGCATAGTGATTATTTTAAATATATGTTAGGGGAAAAGTTATACAGATAACTGAATACAAAAACCTTTCACATCTTGTTATTCTCAAGTGAGTGTACAACTAGCGTATGACTAGTTTTCATGCATAGGTGGTGACTAATGAAGCCAACCTGCTGGCAGTTCGCTGGGAGGGTTGAATTGAGTTCCCTACTCACACATACTGTAAGATTTGTGAAGTATATTGAGAGTGTAAGCCTCGTTGTAGGAAACATTTTTATTTGCCTAAGAAAACAGGTTTTAAAATATTTTCATAAACTTATCTATTTATTGAAGCAGTTGCAGCAAGTTTTCAACTTGTAAGTATTTAATTAGCTCAAATTAATGTTTACATTAAAGATCAATGAAACAATATTAAAATTCATACTGACCTTTCTCCAAATTAGCCCAAATTTACAAGGTTTTCTGAGTTTCATAGTTAATCTTACTGCTCAGAGTGATGATGTTGCTTATATAGTACATTTTCAATTGCCTATTGATGAAAAGAAGAAAAATTTTTACTGCAAAACAGGCAACAATCTCAAACAACTGTTCTTTGTTATGATATATACTGTTTCTCCACTCAGACTCAGGATTAACACTGTTGCCTGCAGCCTAGGTGGCTCTCAATATGACCATGTGTGAGTATCAAAGTACACTCAGGGTTATCAAAAGAAAGGCAATTACCCTCCCTCTTTAGATAATTGGGAGTACCTAGAAGGCCCTTTCACCAGTTGACAGTGCCCTTTGACTAAAGGCAAAAAATGTCCACTGTGTCCACTGTTATTTACATATATTTTGTAGCCTATGTCCTTACAATTCAACAAAGCCAAATGCTTTTGTTGAGTAACTCCTTGTTAAAATAACATTACATAATCTAAAACTGTCATTCTTGTTTTATCCCCTGGAGACATCATCTTCTAGTTAATGGTTTTCCTTCTAGTAATTATTACAGGAATTCTATTTTTGACCCCAAACAGAAAAGACACGCATTTACCAAGAAATGTGTACCAAGACTGATAACATACATGAGAGGCCCCTTGAATTTGTATAAAAGATGTTTTTTAAGAGTTGTGTGCTTTCTGCCAGTGTTAAGGCTCCTAATGCAGGCTTTAATTCATAGCCATGACCTTCAGTATTTAAGTATGTGCTTTCCCAATTCAGAATCAAACCATATGTCTTTGTGTTCTCTGTTTCATATTTTGTGTTCTTTATGAATCAATAAATTTGTAGATACAGATAAATTTCAGTGATTTTTCACTGTAGTAAACACAATGTAACTAATACATAATAGGTGTTCAACATATATTTCCTGGTAATTTCTGACTATCTGTTCCCTGTAACTCCCAACATTTCCAAACTTATCTCATTACTCCTTTATATTACACTTCTATCTGGGACAAGATTACCTAATTAATATCCACTGAGAGAGAGAAAAAAAGAGTCAATATTTGATTTTGGCTAACAATACTGCCCCAGATCTTTAAGAAACTTCCCATTAGAAATAGGCCACTGAGGAAGGATAACAGAAACTATGGTCAGATGTAAATGAAATCTCTGAACATCAGTGACTCACTTCATTGATACTAGGCATGATGTGATACAAACATGTTCCCGAAGGTCTTTGGGCCCTATAAGAATTGTTAAAACAGCACATATTAAATACCAAAAACCTATCATATACACACCCTACCTCTAGAGTTCACTCAGGCTCTCAATCTGAACACCTTTTCCTCTATTTCTCTACTTATTCAAGATTCTGATTCTCCTGTTACGTTCCACTTAAGCTAAGCCTTTGCTGCTCATTTCAGGCCAGAGTGATCATTTCCTCTCCTGAACCCTTTCTATATTTATTTTTGCAAACACTCTTTAGGAACATATTTATGGAAGGCTGCTATTTTTTCCCCTCTGCCTATATATTCAAATATCTCAAAACTTCCTGAGGTGTTTGGGAAGTGAGAGGAGGAATGGGAGGAGCTAAATGGATTTTAAAAGCAGTTAAAATAGTCTGTATAATACTATCATGGAGAATTCATGTCATTATAAATTTGTCAAACCCATAGAATGTACAACACTAAGAGTAAATCCTAGTATAAACTATGAACTTTGGGTGACTGATAGAAAAGAAAAAACCCTCAAGCACAGGAATTATATCTTCTATCTTTGAAGTACACAATTCCTGAAACAATTTTTTTCAAAAAAATTGCAGATAACTGCTAAACATTTGTTAATGATAATGCTAATCTATTGGAGGAGGAAGTAAAATGAGGGGAGGGAACTGCATATACAAAGTGATATTAAAATAAAGTAATAAAATATTATCATTTACATCTAAAATGCTCTTTAGTTTAAAAGCATATTTGAAGAAACCATCTGATTTGTTATATACATTTACAAAATATGGATAATGAATTGTTTTTCATGCAGAGACACTCTCCAAAACCTGACATGCCATGCTAGGGATGTTAATCTATCCAATTTAGAACCATATATTGAAAAGAAAGGACAAGGTTTGACAAGTGTACTCAACAGACATGTTTTGGTGCCTGCTAAATTTCTGGAAATGAGCACAAAGTCTAAAACAGAGAATGCTGGCTTCGCCTAAGAACAAAGAAGCAACAGTGCAGCCCCATTTCTTTTTCCTCCTAAAGTTATGTTCCATAAATGAAATCTGATCCTACTTTGAGCAAAAGTAGGGCAAAAAGCGAGCTATAACTTTAGAACAGACTCATTTTCAAGCAGAAATCCAAATTGGAAAGTCAACTAATGCCAGTAGTAACAGAGTTTTGGCTACAAAACAACCAGTTTACACACTTATTAACAGTTCATAAAATGTATGGTATTGTTCTGGTTCTTGTCACCGGTGAACATATGCTCTCAATTTGCAACAGACTGAAGCACCATTCCATAAATTTTAAAATAGTTGTGAGCATCACAATGGAAATGTCTCAAACATTAGAAATATAATTCTTATTCTAAGAGCAGTAGATCCTTTCAGACATGATCAGTGATTAATAACACTGCAGGTACATGTAGAGGGAGTTTTGAGAGGGGAATTTGAATGGGGATATTTGAGGTCTTCTAAATGATGAAAATAGTAACTTCTCAATTTCATAAGTACATGATAAACCCTAGCCTGTTTCAAATTTCCAGTTCTTCTAGACCAGAGATCTGAATCGGCTACTGGTGCCAAGATTCTTTATGTATGGGCAAAGTTGTCCTCAGAATGTCAAACAATAATATCACTTAAGAACATCTTTCTAATCCTGAATGAGCTAACAGTTTTATTACTATGAAGTTACTCCTGTCTTTTTGCTGCAAAAACACTTGTAGTTAATACAAGTGTGTGACTCTCATCCTACATGTAACGAGCTACTGAATGTTAGAGATCCTGTCTTTTTTGTGTGCTCTCTCTCCGCCTGCTATCTCCACAATACATCAAAACTAATCAGTATTTGTGAATGATCAAAAGCATATTAAATCTATTATATCATTGGAGAGACTATTGGAAATATATTTGTGGATATATATATATATGAATCTTCTATTACTAATTATCATGCATGAATTTATCTTTTAAAATGAGCTTTACCTTTTAACCACACTAACATTATGATTTCTACATTTCTTAGTGTTCAAAGTAATGCTTTATTTTATATTTCCTTAGATTATCACTTTCAAATGACTTTTATATCCCATACTAGAGGCCTGGTGCACGAAATTCATGCACTGGGGGAGGGGGGGGGTGTCCCTCAGCCTGGCCTGCACCCTCTCCAATCTGGGACACCTCAGAGGATGTCCACCTGTGGGATCAGGCCTAAACCTGCAGTCGGACATCCCTCTCACAATCTGGGACTGCTGACTTCCAACCACTCGCCTGCCTGCCTGACTGATTGTCCCTAACCACTCCCCTGCCAGCCTGATCAAAGCCTAACTGCTCCCCTGCTGGCCTGATCGCCCACGACTGCCCTCCCCTGCCAGCCATCTTGTGACCACATGGGGGCGGCCATCTTGGGTGAGGGAATGACAATCAATTTGCATATTACCTCTTTATTATATAGGATTATGGGATTGATGACAAATTAATTATTACTTTATTAATGTAATTAGTATTTCATAATTTATACATCAAATAAAATTGTGTTTTTTCTCTGAACATTTTATCCTAATGCTTATATATTTTCAAAATCTAAATCTTAAGGACCTTGGCTTTATTTAAAGGCATGAATTATATT